GAGAGCAAGAGACAGGCTCTTAACTATAGAGAACAAATTGATGGTTACCAGAGGGGAGGTGGGTGAGGAAAGGCATTAAGTAAGTGATGGGGATTAAGGAGGTTGCTTGTCACAATGAGCACTGGGTGATGTATGGAGGTGTTGAATCACTATATTATACATCTGAAATATAATACTGTATTTTAACTACACTGGAATTAAAATTAAAACAATAAAAATTTTGTTGAGGCTTTCCGTTTTCCTATATATATGATTGTGTCATCTGCAAACAGAGACAATTTTACTTTTTTCTTTCTAATTTGGATGTTTTTTTGCCTTTTTCTTGATTAATTACATTGGCTTGGATACCCAGTACTATGTTGAAATAAGGTGTGAGAGTAAGCATCTTTGCTTTATACCAGATATTAGAAAGCAGACTTTCAGTTTTTGTCATTGATTATGTTGTTAGCTATGGGCTTTTCACATGGCTTTTATTGCTTAAGACAAGACCTTTCTATTCCTATTTTGTTAAAAGTTTTGGTGAATGGGTGTTGAACTTTGTCAAATGCTTTTTCTGCATCTTTTGTGATGATCATGTGTTTTTTTCCCTTTCCTTTTGTTAATGTATTGTATCAGAATGATCAATTTATGTTGAATCACTCATATATTTCTGGGATAATGTATGATCTTTTTAGTGTACTACTGAATTCAGTATTTTGCTAGTATTTTCCTAGGAATTTTTGCATTCATGTTCATCAGGGATACTGGCCTGTGGTTTTCTTTTCTTGTAGTGTCTTTACCTGGTTTTGGTGTTAGTTATCTGGTTTAATATCTAAACCTTGGAAGAATTTATAAAGGATTGGCATTAATTTTTCTTTGAATGGTAGAATTCACCCATGAAGCCATTAGGTCCTGGGCTTTTCTTTTTTTGTTCCTGGGCTTTTTTTCATTGGGAGAATGGTGAGTACTCATTCAAGCTCCTTATTTGTTATTGGTCTATTCAGGTTTTCTATTTCTTCCTGATTCAGTTTTAGTAGTTTATATGTTTCTAGGCATTTACCTATTTTTTAAGGTTATCTAGTTTGTTTATAATAGTTTCTTGTGATCCTTTTTATTTATGAGGCATCTTTTGTAATGTCTATTCTTTCATTTCTGACTTTATTTATTTGAATCCTCTCCCTTTTTTCCTTAGTTTTAGTAGTTTGTATGCTTCTAGGCATTTACCCATACTGTATGGGTATTTTTTTAAATAAAAAAATCATGAGCCAAAAGTGAAAAGATGAAAACAGATATTTCATTAAATTAGTAATCAAAAGAAAGCAGGGGTGGCTATACTTATATCAGACATAATAGATTTTAAGACTAAAACTGTTTTTAGAGACAAAGAAGGGCATTATATAATGATAAAAGCATCAATTCAAGAGGAAAATATAACAATTATAAAAATATATGTACCCAACATCAAAGTACCTAAATATATAAAGCAAATAATGACAGATCTGGAAGCAGAAATTGACATCAATACAATAATTGTAGGGATCTACAATACTGTACAGTATATAGTATTTATTTAAATTCAATTATCCAACATAGAGTACATCATTAGTTTTTGAGGTAGTGGTCAATGATTCATTAGTTGTATATAACACTCAGTGCTCATCACATCATGTGCCTCCTTAATGCCCATCTAAAGCGAGTCTCCTGTAGACAGCATATTTCTGGATCTTATTTCTTACACATTCAGCCAGTACATGTCTTTTTTTTCTCTCCTGAACTCCTATACCACTTTATTGTCTATTTCATTCATCTGACAATCAATCATGCACTGTCTTGTAACATATCTGAAAACTATTATTTATCTCAAATGCTGTAATTTAACTGTTTCTTTTGTTTATATCTTGTCTTCCCAACTACCTAAAAAGCTCATTGGGTCCAGAAGCCAAAGTCACACCTTCTTTTCAACTCTCTATGGAAGAGAACTGGGGGCCTAGTAAGGTGTTATTCCTTAATGGGCACTGCCTATTTTATAGTAGGTTATCCAATTACTTTATAGTGACTTTAATAGACCACTAAGTCCATAACTAAGCTTCCTTCACCTGTATCAGGCATTGGTCATGACAGAGAATAGAAGAGACCATTAGAGATAAAGTACATATGAGAGAAAGCATATTTGACTCTTTAAGACTCATGCAGGATGAATTGCTAAGATGGTCATGCTGAAACATTTCACTGTCAGCTAAAAGTGTTTCTTAATAGATTTAGATCCCTGGAACAGCTTCACAGAGGTTGTGATTGCAACCTGAAACACGATTCTTCCAAGAGAGTAAACAGGCAGACCATTTTTTTTTCCTTTCTAATTTATGCTAGGTGGTCAATACTTAGATGTTTAATTCAGTTGAATCAGGAATGGCACAGTAATGGCCTGACGGTTTTCTTTAGAAACTTTTGCATTTCTAGACTAATAATTGAAATTTAAAATATCCTATGTAAGCTTTTATGCCAAATTGAAAGTGTGTGTTTCATGAGAAGTGCTCCAGTTTGGATAGAGATAAACCAAGGGAAGGAAAGGGATTGGCCCATAGGGATGATAATGGAAGAGGAGCATGGAAATCACAACTTTTTGTGGCTACCACTAATGTTGTGCCATAGTGGGCTTAATGGGAGTGGAGGGGAGGATTGGGATGCTTTTCTCTATTAGGAAAGGAAGAAGGAAACGACAATGGAGAAAAATGATGAGAGCATTTCATGTAAAGACCATCATCAGGTTCTAAGCAAAAATCTCTTATTTATGCATAGACAATGTAGGCCTGGGAGAAGCTTACTGATATGTGGAAAGATACCTAGGCCCTAGTTAAGTCAACTTGTTATGTACTCATAGCCCATGAATAGCAGTGTATATAGGTATGAAAATAAGTGGTCAAAAGCCTGAGAAGTTCTAGAGAAATGAGAACACATTTTTTCCCCCCATGGCATTGTTTCTGCTTATAAAACCTATCATTACCTCTTCTTCAACCCAAGTGCCTGTAATAATTCTCTACCCTTTGCTAGTTATTTAAAATATCAGCTTCATCAAAATCAAAAGCTTCTGCACAGCAAAGGAAACAGTCAACAAAACAAAGAGGCAACCCACGGAATGGGAGAAGATATTTGCAAATGACAGTACAGACAAAAGGTTGATATCCAGGATCTATAAAGAACTTCTCAAACTCAACACACACAAAACAGACAATCAGATAAAAAATGGGCAGAAGATATGAACAGACACTTCTCCAATGAAGACATACAAATGGCTATCAGACACATGAAAAAATGTTCATCATCACTAGCCATCAGGGAGATTCAAATTAAAACCACATTGAGATACCAACTTACACCACTTAGAATGGCCAAAATTAGCAAGACAGGAAACAACGTGTGTTGGAGGGGATGTGGAGAAAGGGGAACCCTCTTACACTGTTGGTGAGAATGCAAGTTGGTGCAGTCACTTTGGAGAACAGTGTGGAGCTTCCTTAAGAAATTAAAAATAGAGCTTCCTTATGACCCTGCAATTGCACTACTGGGTATTTACCCCAAAGATACAGATGTAGTGAAAAGAAGGGCCATTTGTACCCCAATGTTTATAGCAGCAATGGCCACGGTCGCCAAACTGTGGAAAGAACCAAGATGCCCTTCAACGGACGAATGGGTAAGGAAGATGTGGTCCATATACACTATGGAGTATTATGCCTCCATCAGAAAGGATGAATACCCAACTTTTGTATCAACATGGACGGGACTGGAAGAGATTATGCTGAGTGAAATAAGTCAAGCAGAAAGAGTCAATTATCATATGGTTTCACTTATTTGTGGAGCATAACAAATAGCATGGAGGACAAGGGGAGTTAGAGAGGAGAAGGGAGTTGAGGGAAATTGGAAGGGGAGGTGAACCATGAGAGACTATGGACTCTGAAAAACAATCTGAGTGTTTTGAAGGGGCGGGGGGTGGGAGGTTGGGGGAACCAGATGGTGGGTATTGGAGAGGGCATGGATTGCATGGAGCACTGGGTGTGGTGCAAAAACAATGAATACTGTTATGCTGAAAATAAATTTAAAAAATTTAAAAAAATATATCAGCTTCTTCTTAAGGATGGATTCATCTTCTCCTTTGTCTCCAAGACCTGCACAGCAGAGCTTTGCTTTAATATGAACCATGTATCATTCTTTTTCTAAACCCTGGTTCCATGATTACCCTCAGATTCATTTATTCATTCAACAAATATTTATTATGCCTCTACTATGTGCCACACACTGATATAAGAAAAAAATTCCTTCTTGAAGCTTACATAACTTCTAACTATAGTAGGTCTTCAGAAGAGTGGATTGAGGACATATCCCAGAGTTTGAATGGTGTACAATTTGTTTCAGGGACCAGTGGCTTGGGGTTTGGTATTACTGAGGAGAAGAACTCTGCTAAGCTTTGGAGGGGACTGTTCCTTGCTCTTCCTCCTACATTTCTTTTTCGGTGGACAGTGGACAGAAAGGCAAAATGACATAATGTTTAAAGACATAGGCTTTAGAGTCACACAGCCTGAGTCCAAATCTTGCCTTTGCTACTGAGCAGTTATTTCATTGCTACTGAGTAGCTATTTCATCTTTGTTTCTTTCTCCTTTGTGAGCCTCAGTTTCGTGAGCTGTTACGATAGTCACTCAGGAGACCCAGGTCAAAACTGCTGATTTGCTAACAAAGGAACTTCTAAGTTAGCTGCTCACATATGTCTTGAGTGCCTCATCCATTGGGCGTACAGTGACATCTATGTATCAGTTGGATGTATATGGGATTTTCTAAATCACATACTTTCAAGGTCAAGTCTAAGTGAATTACTCCTTTTTTATAAATAGTAGGTTTCCTAATGATATCCATCTATAATTTCTGACCACATGGTCTCTAGTTCCATCTTATTATTTGAAAGGTGGCTTAACTAATGCAATAAATTAACTGTTTACTTCTGAAAGCTATGTGAATTCTCTACTATTTCCCTTACCTTACGAATTTCTCCCTGTTGGACAGTTTTTATGACATTAATCCATTCTTCCATGTCTTTCCGGTTGGGTGCAGCCAGGGTAACTTTTCGTTGTGGTGTGATCACCTAAACAAAAAGTTACATTATTAGCTGGTTCACATTCTACAACTTTTCCCCCAAACAGAGCCTGTGAACTCTCCAAGGACTAGACAGGTCTACCAAGCCACTTCTTAAATATAAGACAGAAATTCCCAGAGCCACTTAAATGTAAGATAGAAATTCTCAGATACCTACCCAAAATAATAATAGTAATGAGTAACAACTTAATAGTATTTATTATGTGCCAGGCACTGCTCTATTACACTTTATATATATTATTTATTTCAATTTACATTATGACCCCATGAAATGGCCATTATTATTTTTCTCATTTCATAGTCAGGAAACCCAAGGCAAAGTTTAATGACTTGCCCAGGCCACCTAGCAGGTAGAAAGCTGAGCCAGAATTAAAATACAGCTTCTTTGGCTCCAGAATACACGTTTTTAAACATTAAGCCATGCACCATCTATTACTTCAGTGTGGCTGGTTGAAAATCTTACTACTTACTGCTGCTTTGTCTACTTAAAAATGATAAAAGCGTATATGCTTCAGCAGGGTATGCCTCTTTCTCTTTGAGGGGAGAGTGAAAATAGTGAAAAGTCTAAAAATTCAGTTTCTTTCTTGATTATAGTCAAGGACAACTTGAAGACAACTTTACCATTGGTCTCTTAATCCTGGTTGGTGTATGGATCCTGGCAGGAATAATGAGAAAGCCAACTTAGGGTCTAGCAGAGGTAGACCATGTCCAGGACTTGGTCTTTTCCCAGAAGGCATGAGGGACACAGATGGCTACAGCATCAGTGATTGCTTCAATGGTCCTACTTGCCTTTACTACCAGCCCCCCCAAATCTTAGAACTAGAGCTCACTACAACAACAAGAAATTTCCATCGCCTTTTGCATGTAGCACAGATGAGTCTGTGATAGATAGGAATAGAATCTAGTGGGAATTATGACAACAGTCACATATTTGGTCCAAACCCATTATTGTATGGGGCTGATCAATGATACCTCTGTGTTTTAATTAGGCTAAGGGAATTCCTAGTCCTTGGAATTTCTTTATATAATAAAGATGAAAAACATTAGCATATATGATCATCACCCAAAGGTTGAGATTTCTGGCATTGGGTCAAGAGAACTCTGAACTTTACCCTAGGTCACTGGGATATGAGAGAGAGAAATGATAGTAGAGTCTCCCTCTTATATCCTACTGTTTTACTTTCAAGAGAGAATGGAATGTGGACCAGCCACAAAAGTGGAGTATTGGGCCTGTAGGTTTTTAGTCTGCTAATTATCATCCTGCTGAAGAGGAACCCCAGTCTCCATAACCTACCATTGAGGCTGGGAGAAGACAATTCTAGAAGGAGGTGTGTAGGATAATTCCCAAGCCAATGGATTTGCTATTTTTAGTGAACTTTCTGGTCTGGATCCACTTGAATTAGTGAATATTTATGACATTTCATCAGTGCCAAAACCTTGAATGCATCCCTTGAAAATCCTCTGCTTTCTTTGAGGTGCTCCCATCAGTAATTTCAGCATAAGTTAGCTCTCACTTTGGATTAGGTTCTTATCTACCTCATCAATGGAGAGATTGTCACGTAACTTGATTATCTTGATATGTTCTACATCATATTAGCAGTCTCTTGAAAACCTCACAGTGATACTCTTCTAAATCACCTTCACCAGGAGGATTGATTTTTTGTAATACTCATTCTCCCCACCACCCAGAAATCAGCTCAGCTTTATACCAGGCTGGTAATAGAGAATAAGACATCACTTTTTCCTCTCCGTCAATGGGCTGGTAGAAATTGTTTACATGAAATAATCTTTAGGACTCATTTGCAATACTACTTTAAGTGGATTTCCACACACACTTTGGGATCAAAGGAGACTTGGGAAACATGCACTCCAAAGAAGAAACACATGGGTATGGCAACCCCTCTACCCAGCTAGATCACACCCCTACCAATTTAATCATTTCCAATATTACTTACACAAAAACTATGACAAAGATTTCTACAGCTGCTTTCTGCCAAGGCAACCTGAGATAGATCAATTGTTTCAAAGCGTGCAAACTGGAAAGAGATAAGAAGGAGAAGAAAAAAAAATCTGGTTAATAATGTCAAGAGACACTAAAAAATACACACACACACACAGGCATTTTTGGCAGTCATGAGCCTATCATTTCTTTGACTTGAGTGCTGGGATTTATTTAGCATCATGATTTTTGTTGATATATCATGTGACATACAAAAACCAAACCAAACTAAAGCAAAACACTACTCTTCCTAAAACTGTTATGTGGATTTACAAGAAGGCTTAGGTGGTTCAGAAATATTCAAAACTAAGGGTTTATGCTGGAGAAGATAATGGTATATGGTCTAGCTAAGGGCCAAAGGGAGCAGATAAGAGTTATTAGCTCCTATTTATTAGCTGGCAGCCTTTGACTTTGTTGCTAGTCCTAACCAGTTTGAGGCCTATGTCTCCTTATACATTGGCTATAATTGCTAACATCCAGCCAGCAGCAAGAAAAGCAGTACTATGAATAGAGTTAGGGCTGGCTTCCCTGGCATAGAGCCCGTGCATTCATACAAGGCCCCATGTTCAGAAAGGCCCTGCACTTGATTTACTTAATGCTCTGCTGTTACAATCTTAAAAACTTTTTTATAATTTTTTAAAGATTTTATTTATTTATTTGACAGAGATTACAAGTAGGCAGAGAGGCAGGCAGAGAGAGAGAGAGGAGGAAGCAGGCTCCCTGCCGAGCAGAAAGCCCGATGCGGGGCTTGATCCCAGGACCCTGGGATCATGACCTGAGCCGAAGGCAGAGGCTTTAACCCACTGAGCTACCCAGGCACCCCCAATCTTGAAATTTTTAATAATTTCATCTTTGGACATGTTTTGGAAATGAAGTCCAATGGGACAATCACTCATGAACATAAGCAGAGGAGATATGCACAACCTGCATGCCACCCCATGTCTTATCACTCCATTTGCATTCATGATGCCCATGAGCATAGAATTTCAGTGGACCCATGATGTATGGGAGTTCAATGAGACTCAAAGCAAGTACAAGGTAAGCATGTTACGTCTATGACTGAGTAAGTAAGGGAGCTTACAGCCCTGAGAGTCCACACTTTTGGTAGGAAGTAGAACTTGCCTCAAACAGAGAAAAAGGCAATGGTGTTCTAAGAAATATGAACAACCAAGGCACCCTATTGTGTTCTTTCTTACTTATGTTACTTCCCTATATTAGCCAATAATTTATGCTGAAAATGATAACATTGAAAGAAAGGGAAAGATAGGGCAGCCCATAGTTCCTTTTTCTTTCAGCCAGGGTGCTGGTACAATGTAATAATATCAAGATGTGAAATAAAAACAGTTGAGATGGCTTTGTATACTGGTGAGAACAAAATATGTATGTGTGTATGAGCTACTAAATACAAATTATATAATTTCGGTCATTTTTCATATGAGCTAAATGCTTTTATATTTGCTTTTAAAACTGGCATTGCATAACATTCAGATGAATGGCAAAAATGCTAATAATTTAAAATTTTATCTTTTCTTAGAATGACATTAAACAACAAATAAAAGATGACATTACTAATCATTGTATTATATTTTAATATCTTTAATGATGTTTTTCCTTGTTTTTTAAATAAGGGCCCTGCATTTTCATTTTGTACTGGGCACCACAAATTGTGTAGTTGGTTCTGATGTAGAAGCTAATTGAGGAAATCTATGGAGGTAAGGGAAAGAGGAAAGGGAAGGGAGAGAAAAGTGTCCCCCCATTTGGCCCAAAAGGACAAGTTAAAGGAAAAGTAGAAGATCTTAACTTCTACCTTGATGTTTGCCAATATGTCTTTACCTATTGGCTTATGTCCCTTCACAAACATTTCCTGGCATTCCCACCCATTCACCCAAATGACAAGATTATATAGATATTCTCCGGAATAAATATTCTATATATACTATATATTTTCTTACCGCGGGATGGTGTGCAAAACAGAGCCTTTGTCCTCGAACCAGAAAATACCTAAGCTTCCATCTCTTGAAGGAATTACAGTTCTTCAGCAAAGGTCCTTCCTTCAGTATTTTCTGAAAGATAAAGCATAATGTTGAGTAATTAGGTGAATTTGGAAGACCATATCACTTGCTCTCTCAATTAAGAATATCAGGTATCTGGATGGCTCTATCTCTGTCACATATCTGAGAAATGGCCCGAGAGCCAGATAAAAATACAAGGAAGTTAATTCAGTCAGAAAAGGAATTGGTTACCCTTGGAAAACACATTCAGAATGATATAGGCTCTAAGTTCCTTAGGATATTTGGCCCAAGAAACATGGAGAACACCTCCACTCGTGGTAAGGGATGGGGAGGAGGGACATGAACATAAAAATATAAGAACAACATTCTTAGGAGAAGATAATTAATAGGGGGAAAATCTGTGTTCCGCAATGGCAGATATTCTGGAAGGCTCCAGGTTGTAGCTCTAGACCATTCCTATCAGTGTTAGAGTGTTCCTTTTAGAATATTAAGTTGGATCACATCCCTTCCCCTGCTCATGAAGGAAGGCCAATAGCTTCCTAACATTTTCAGAACCAAATCCAAAGTCTTTACCCAGACCTTCAAGGGATTTATGATCTGGTAAGAAAGAAAAAGAGTCACCAAAAAGGAACTACCTTCTGATTATTTTCTTTATGTATCTCATAGTCTGGTCACTTTTTCACTTTTTGAACAGACTGACTCTAAGCAAGCATAGAATCTGTTTACCATTTTTATCTTCAGGAAGTTCTCAGTTACATTTATAGGATACAAACCAACATACGAGAGTGCCATTTGGGAGAAATATTCACAACCACAAAGCTGGAACCAACCCATACTGAATGGACAAAGAGTCAGACTTAGTTAATTCACCAAATTAGGGCACTACCATGAATTCCAATCATAATCTAAATTAGAATTCACTGCTTAGTGGTGGTGGAAGTGTTTTGTTTGGCCTACCTAGTGTTTTTCAGTTTTTAATTAGCTGATAATATTTAAAGGACAGAATATTTCACAGAAAAAGTCAAGTCTTTTGTTTCTTAAACAAACAAACAAACAAACAAACAACCCAACAGATTGTTTCTCAGAGTCTGTATTCTCTCATAGTGCGTCTCCCACTTTAATGCCCCCCACTTCATTTGCCCCTACCTTCTCCTAATGTCCTCCATACTATTCCTTATGTTCCACAAATTAGTGAAACCAAATGATAATTGGCTTTTTCTGCTTGACTTATTTCACTTAGCATAATCTCCTCCACTCCCATCCATGTTGATGCAAAAGCTGGGTATTCATCCTTTCTGATAGCTGATTAATATTTCATTGTATAGGAGCGCCCGAGTGGCTCAGTGGGTTAAGCCTCTGCCTTTGGCTCAGGTCATGATCCCAGGGTCCTGGGATCGAGCCCTGCGTGGGGCTCTCTGCTCAGCGGGGAGCCTGCTTCCCCCTCTCTCTCTGCCTGCCTCTTTGCCTACTTGTGGTCTCTCTCTCTCTCTGTCAAATAAATGAATAAAATCTCTAAAAAAATATTCCATTGTATATATGGACCACATCTTCTTTATCCATTTGTTTTTTGAAGGGCATCTCTGCTCTTTCCACATTTTGGCTATTGTGGACATTACTGCTATGAACATTGGGGTACATTTGGCCCTTCTTTTTCACTGCATCTGTATTTTTGAGGCAAATACCCAGTAGTGTAATTGCTGGGTCTTAGGGTAGCTCTATTTTTAAATTTTTGAGGAACATCCACACTATTTTCCAAAGTGGCTGTACCAACTTGCATTCCCACCAACAGTGTAAGAGGTTCCCTTTCTCCACAGCCTCTCCAACATCTGTTGTTTCTTGCCTTGTCAATTTTGGCCATTCTAACTGGTGTAAGGTGTTATCTCAGTGTGGTTTTGATTTGAATTTCCCTGATGGCTAATGATGATGAACATTTTTTCATGTGTATGTTAGCCATCTGTATGTCTTTTTTGGAGAAGTGTCTGTTCATGTCTTCTGCCCATTTCTTGACTTGATTACTCGTTTTTTAGGTGTTGAGTTTGAGAAGTTCTTTGTAGATCTTGGATATCAGCCCTTTGTCTGTAGTGTCATTTGCAAATATCTTCTCCCATTCCGTGGTTTACTTCTTTGTTTTGTTGATGGTTTCCTTTGAGTTTAGAGGAGATGGGGTTAGGGGGATGGGTGAGCCTGGTGATGGGTATTAAGGAGAGCGCATATTGCATGGAGCACTGGGTGTTATTCACAAACAATGAATCGTGGTACACTACATCAAAAACGAATGATGTACTGTATGGTGACTAACATAACACTAAAAAAAAAACAACAGAAAATCTGGTAACAATGTCAACCTATAGTCTCACATGGCTACAGTTTGCTGGATCAGAGTAGCACTTCCTTCTTTCAGTTTGGGGTATTTGACTCCAGTAGGCATTTGAGCTTGGGACCCTGATCTAAGCAATCCTTTGCTACTCCTGTTCTCCCAAATATACACACATCTATTACACTCACTGTTATCTTATCTCCAACCCATAAGATAGCACTAATAGACAGAACCTCTGTATTTCAACTGTAAAGTCAGTTCATGAGGAAAGTTTACTTGAGTCCTCTTGATAATTTATGGGAGTTTCAAGGTTATTATAATACCCTTGAGATGTTTACAAAAGAATGGTGTGAAAGAATCAAGACAAAGTGAACATTAAGATCTGTGGGAAGGGGAAAGCTGTCAGGGAGAGTGAGAAATTATATTTAAATTGTTAAAACTGAGTCATCAATGAGAAAACAACTCTTCTAAGCATTGCAATTACATCAGTCTTTCTCTGGTCTGGTGGCCTATGGTATATACTTAAATGATGTTATTTAGTTTTCTCTATCCCAACTTCCTCACCTCTATGCTGTATATTCTTCCACACTAAGTCTTAATGATACCTAAGCAGTCATATTATCCCTTTCTGCTAAAGACTAAAGTTCAAAATTTTAACTGTTCCAACCATTGAAGCCATGGCCATTATTTCTGCCCCTTTCTCAAGTTATTCTATTCAGTCAATTATTAAGTGTTTCTCATACTGTTCTTACATTTGTCATATATTGTGTCCCCTATAATAGCTCATTTTTAGTGAGCTATTATAATAGTAATGAGAAATGAGGAGGCGGATTTGTTCCTCTAGAAGATTCCCAGAACTCTGGGCTTTCTGGCCTTCAGAAAATTCTCAGACCCTGGTGATTTGAAACATTGAAATAATAGAATTCAGCCTCTTCTCCCCACCTGTTTCCTTCCATGAAATCTTAGTAATGACCACTTTTAATTCCCCTTCCTGGTACTAAAGAAATGGTTCTCTTTTCTTCTCTTACCCGTGCCTTGCTAATTAATGACATTTTATTATCCATCCAAGGACACAGTGAACCAACTAATTAGTTAATTAATCTATTAATCTGAGGACACAGCAAGTCATCAAAACCTTCATTTCTCATTCCATGAGCCTAGTATTTGTCAGTCAAGAAAAAGGAAAAAGAGACATTGTGATACATGTATCATTGGATAAAGTGCTCCATTCATATTTTCTGAGCTTCTAATATGGACTTCACCTTTGGCAGGGCCCTTTGGGGTAGCTGAAGAAATTGCAGGCACATTCTCTGCCTCAAAGATAAGGATAGTGGGAGTAGAGGAAGAGGGACTGATAATTCATGTAGAGAGAAACAAAGTTATATGAGCTCAGAGAATTATTTGAAAAAGCCTTGGAGACTTCATGCTTATTGCTCCAAGTGTTTACCTTCTGATTCAAATGAGGGGTTCCACCAAGACAGTGGTTATCTACTCATATATCCTATCATTGGGTATACCAGCCAAATCACAATTATCTCTTCTCTGTGCCATAATATTAAACTGATTACTTTGAATGCACAGCTTTAAGTGTAGGGCTATCTAGTCAATATCCATAGAGGGCTGGTTGGTAACAAAAGGATCATCAAGACTTAGCAAGGGAATTGGAGAGACAAAGATCAGTTGATACTAAATTCTAGGTGATTATGATTGAATGCTGACAAATATTACCAGCTCATTCCAGTTTTTAAGACAAGCTGGCAATACAAACTAAAATCTGTGTGAAGTTTTGTGATATTTAAATACTAGGAACTAACTAACTTTTTAAAAATTTTTGAGTGCCAAACAAAACATGTATGCAGGACAAAGCCCACCTACAGCAACCAGTCTGCAATTTCTGAACTATAACAATTGTCACTTTCCCTAGAGGACAAAGTGAATTAAGTGGTAGTTATTTCTAGTGTCAGAGGAGATTGCAGTGCATGAATTTAGAGTTTGTGTGTTAGGATCCTGTGTATGAGATGTATATTACCATGTTGGGAGCAGATAAATGTTGATGTGGTCCATGTATAGTAGGTAAGAAGGTTAGAAGGTCACACAAGAGTTTCTTAAGTTCTAAACACAGACTCTATATCATCAACTCTGAACTTCCACAAATATAAAAATCTAGGTCAGAAAAAGGTAAAATTACTATAGTTCCTTTCCTTTTTAACTCTGTCCACCTTTGGTAGAAACTTACCTACTAACCCAATCCCCGTTTTTAGATAAACCACTTTTTATTTAAAACTCAAAAAGCAGTCCCAGCTTGAAAAAGAAGAAGCTAAAAATCAATCAATGATTTCCCTCAAGTCAATAAAATATGTTCATGCAAACAAACTTTTACCTTCACAAGGCTACTAAACCTAACAACCATGTGAGACAAAAATTGGAAGAAACACACACACACACACACACACACACACACACACACATACACACACCTTGCAAAGGGTAGCTTTGGAAGAAGAACGCTTGTGTCCCATGAGAGTATTTGCATAGTGTTTCCCAGTTCCTGGCTGTTTGCAGATAACATCATCTCATTACCCTCCACCACAACCATGCAGTGGTACCTCCAATTTCCAGAAGGTAAATCTGAGGATTGGGTGTTTTCTGTTGCTTTGCTTGAGGAACAACAATTATAAAATACTGGTGGGCTCTATGTTCTTTCCACTACTCTGCCCATGGCAAGAAAATGTGG